GGTTAGCAGTCAAGTGCCTTAGGCACTATGCTACCAGAACCATTGTTTAAGTATTTGCTAAATGTTTGTTCTTGTCTTTTTTTTGATGGGAAGGTTTTAATATTTTTCTTTGAAGTTACCCTGTTATTTATTATTTTTTTCCCATGTTTAAAACAGTCTGTTCTATCTTGCAATTGTCTTGCCTTCCTCACCATTTAGAAGGTCTGTAACTACACTATTTATTCCCACTTTTTGGTTTGTAGTTGTCTTCATTTACCAATTGATGTCTGTTTCCCTGTTTGCAGTCTTGTAAGCTTATTTGACTTTGGATACTTTTATAACTGGGTTGGTTTCTGGGTTATGTCATCATGCATGTTAATCACTGGTTGTTGTTTGCTGTTGTTGGTTCTCTGTCTGAAGGACTACCTTTAGCACCTTTTGAAAAGTTGGTCTGGTTTTAACAAATCTCCTTAATTTCTGCTTATCTGGAAATGTCCTAATTTCACCATCATATTTGAGGGACAATTTTGCTGGGTATATAATTCTTGGTTGGCAATTTTTCTCCTTCGGGGTTTTATGTATATCACCCCATTGCTTCACATATGCATGGTTTGTGCCAAGAAATTAGAGCTTAGTCTTATATTGTTTGCTCTGTGCAGGTAACTTTTCATTTTTCCCGTGCTGCTTTCAGGATTCTTTCTTGGTCTGTAATTTTGGTGAGTTTGATGATATGTCTTGGTGATTTTCTCTTGCGGAGTATCCTGTTTGGGGTTTAACTTCTTGAATGGATACATTCTCATCTTTCATTACATTAGGGAAATTCTCTTCCAACAAATCTTCAACAATTTTCTCTGTAGTTTTATCTGTCTCTTCCTGTTCTGGAATTCCAATTACACATGGGTTATTCCTCTTGATGGTATCCCACAGGAATCTTAGGATTTCTTCATTTTGTCTTGCTCTTTTGTCTGACTGATCCCTTAACAAAGTAGTATTGAGGTATCTGTTTTCAATCCCATTAATTTTGTTTTCCATTGACTTGATTCTACTCTTTTGCCCATTGAATGTATTATCTATTTCTGAAATCTTAGTATTAACATTTTGAATTTCTATGTTGTTTTTGCATCATTTCTAATTTTTTGTTTGTTTTGTCTATTTGTTCTTGTATTGTTTTCCTAAATTGTTCTCGAGTTTTGTCTGTGTATCTTGTGTTTTCTTTAATCTTGTCAGTGGTTTCCTTGATTTGTCTCTCAATCCGTTGAAGGTACCCAAATAAGATTCTTTTGAATTCTTTCTCAGGCAGTTTCCATGCTGCTTCTTTGTCAGGGATGGTTTCTGGGTTTGTATTCTGGTCTCTTGTTTCTATTAGTTTATCTTGCTTTCTTGTGTGGACTGTGATGGTCTGTTGTCTCTGACACACTGTGATGTTGATGTATTTATGTTTAATTCATGGTTGTATGCTGGTGTGATTCGTGCAAGAGTATTTTCCTCCTTTATTTTGTTTTAATATATCTGTGTGAGCAACATACTGTACTCCTCTATTCACTAGTTGTTAGCACTTAGGTAACCACCACAATGAGAGTGTGGGCACAGATCTCTGTTAGCTGTTTGTAAAGAGCAAATGAAGGTAAGCTGAGCTGTTACTGTCCACCATCTATCGTTGGTCAGTTAGTGCAAAAGGAAGTGAAAGCCCTCACTCACATATGGTTGGGCTATATGAGAACGGTTGCTGTCTCCCACTCAGTTCAACAACAATGACAAACCAAAAAATAAATAAATAAATAAATAAAACAAAAGAACAAAAAACTCAAACCACATAAACAGGAACAATTGCACCCCCCAAAATACAATAAATGAGAGAAAATATTTTCAAAATACACTAAAAAATGATAAAAGAAAGATAATGAGTTAAAGAGAAAAGAAAGAAAGCAAGCCATAGTATCTGGGGAGGGAAAAATGAGAAAAAAGAGCAAAAGTAAAAGAATGTTGTTGTTACATGCTGTCAAGTCGGCCCAGACTCATAGCGACCCCTCCTTGGATTGCCAAGGCAGTATCACTATGGAAGTAGACTTTCCAACTTTCCTTCCAGAGTAAAAGAATAGTAAAGAAAAAAATGGGAAAACTGTGAAAGGAAAAACAAGGGATGGTAAGAACCAAAAGAAAGAAAAGGAAAGCAGGAAAGGGGAAGGAAAAAAAATAAAAATAAGAACCAGGGATGGGAATAAAGAAGGAAAAAAAAAGTTAGAAAGGAGGTAAAAAAAAAAGAATTTAAAAACAAAAACAAAATTGTTGGGGGTATGGGACAGCACCCAGGCTCTGTCATGGCACAGACCAGATGGAATTCTTGCTTATCAATAAGGTGGGTGGAAGCAGGAGATGGCCACACCCCTGTTCAGCAAGAGAGTATGGGGTACAAGAGCAACAAAGGAAATATCATGCCTCTCCAGTAGTCAGCTTCTAGTGCGGTCACCCACATTGTCCCCAGCAAGTGGAGCCCACTCTTATGTCACTGTCCAGGTAAGAACGCCACTTGCATACATCCAAAATAGCCATGCCCACAAACATTCAAAATGGCTGCACCCTTAGGACAGCTGCCAGCAGTTTACAGGTCTTTTTATTTCCTTCCCCAACATTTTCCTTTTTAGTTGTTAGGCACCAATGCAGTCCTTGCCCATGCAGTGCTCAGTGAGCAAAGCCGATTATGAGGTTGCTATTGGAAAATATTCAAAATGGTTGTGTTCCCAGGACAGCTAGCAATTCGCCACTGTTTGTCTCCTCACTCACTGTTTCATTCAGATTCTTCTATGAGTTTTATGTAATTTTGTGAGTCATAAAACATTCTTTTTTTTTTTTTCATTTAAAAATATAAAAACCATGCTCAACTCACAAGTCATGCAAAAAAAGGTGACAGGCCAAATATGACCTGAGGGCCATAGTTTGACAATTAAGGGAAGGTAGAGTAGATATAGCTTAGAGGCAAAAATAGAAATCAAGACAAGAAACAGTGAGGGTGTGAATTAGGCAAGTAATATGTTGTGAAAGGAGAGACCAGGCTTCAAGGAATACTCAAGAGATAACAGTAGGGTTTAGTGACTATAAACATGTGGGCATTGGGGGAAAGTACAGGGTTAATTAGAAGGTGGAAGAAGAAATTATAGGAAAAAGGCAATTCATACATTTCAGTAGAGTGAATGGTAGGGATAGCAATAAGCTTAATGACCAAATCAAAAACCAAACCCACTGCCACTGAGTCAATTCCTACTCACAGCAACCCCCCAAGTGTTTCCAAGGCTGAAAATCTTTACAGAAGCAGACTACCTTATCTTTTTCCTATGGAGAAGCCAGTGGGTTTGAACCTCTGACCTTCTGGTTAGTAGCTGAATGCATTACCACTACATCATCAGAGCTCATTCAAACTTAGAGGAGAGGAGGAGAAATACTGGGTGGGGTACAAAAATTAAAGTGAGGTACAAAGTGTTCAAAAGCTTTTGTTCTATTGTGTTATTTCTCTCTTTTTCTTTTCTTCACTACTAGAAGAGACTTAGGGTGCTCTGGTAGCATAGTGCCTAAGAAATTTGACTGCTAACCAGAAGGCTGGCGGTTCAAACCCATCAGCTACTCCTCGGAAGGAAGGTTGGGCAATCTACTTCCGTAGTGATACTGCCTCGGAAACTCAAGGAGGGGTTCGTTATGAGTCGGGTCCGACTCGATGGCACATAACAACAACAACAACAACAGAAGAGACTTAGAGACCTGTACTTACTTACGATATGAGGAGAAAAACGAAAACAGGAGATCGAAACTTACAAAGCAGAGGTAATTAATGAAACAGATATCAGACAAGGTGGGATTATATGCACAAGAGAAGAATTTAGTCATAGGTAGGAAGAATAATTAAGTAACACATTTCTAGATAAAGAGTCAGGACACTGGGGGCGATCATGTCTCAAGGTTTTAATTCTTTAATGAGGTACGAAGTAATATAGTTACATCTCTATCCAGACCAGATTGAGAGATGCTGAAAGATAAGAATTAGCCATTCCCACAGTAACGAGGATAACTTCTTGCATATAAGTACTCGATAAAGGTGTGTAGAAGTCAATTGAATCTAAGCTTAAGGACTGGTAATCTGTTGCAGGCTGGTATTCTGGTTAGCTAGTGCCGCTCTGGGGAGCTCTGGTAGCATAGTGGCTAAGACACTTGCCTGCTAACCAGACAGCTGGTGGTTCAAACCCACCAGCCACTCCTCGGAAGGAAGGTTGGGCAATCCTACTTCCGTAGTGATACTGCCTCGGAAACCCAAGGAGGGGTTGCTATGAGTTGGGGCCGACTCGACGGCACATAACAACAACAACAGTGCCGCTCTGACAAGAAATATACCACAAATGGGATGGCTTTAACAAACAGGAGTTTATTCTCTCACAATATGGAAGCTTTAAGTCCAACTTCAAATTGTCAGGCTCTAGGGGCTGGGTGAAAGCCCCTCAACCTTGAGGTCCAGCTCTGCCTCCTGCTCCCAGCCCACTGGAGCTAGAGGCATTTCTTCACTCAGACAGCTGCAGGCTGCTGAGGCTGAAAAGCCCCAAGGTTGACAAGTAAAAAGGCACAGTCCCGATGTTACCATGTGGTTACACAGCAGGCCATTAACTTAAGTCCACTGCAAGTCCCAAGGTCAGCAGAGCATAGCAGGCTGCTAAGCAACAACACAGCTACATGCGGGGTCCAAGTGTGCCAAAGGCTAGAGACCATTCCCAAAGCTTCTCCTTATATACAAGAAGCAGACCACATACCCAAAGGCAGCTACCCACCTGCTCGTGGTAGATGCCAACATGGAACTGATTGCCAGTCTCCTCATGAGGATTAACTACCACCAGCTGCCCAGCCACTCAACCAGGCCCAGCCAAGTTGACACAAAAACCAAACTACCACAGCTGGTATTAACAGCAATCAGAAATTTAGGCAGGATAGAAATTTTTTAAATGGTAGGAAAGAAAAACAAAGATCTATTGACTATATTTCTTTACCTGTACATTCTCTGCAAATCAGATGCTAAAAATCCAGTGTCCACGTATTTGCCACATCTGTTACTAGAAAGATACTAAAAAAAAATAAATAAATATAAGACATTCAATATTTCAAACAGTGATTATAATCAACAAACAAGAAATCAAGCTACCGACATGCTATACTTTGATATAAAGTCTTCATTAATAAAACATACCAGAAACAAATGAAAATCACCAAATAATTGTCAACCCTGGAATCAAAGAATTTAATTTATAGTGACAACACTATAACAAAAATACTAGAAGAGCTATCATGTAGCAAGGGAGGGTTTACTATACTCTAGTAAGAAACACCACAGAACACATTAATAAACTAACAAAGGCACTGTGAGGGGAACACAGAGATAGCTGACATCTGTCAAGCACTGTAAGAACTATAAGCTTGAGGCAATTCAGTTATAACATTAAATCACCTTTCATTACTTTTGATGATTTCATCTTTGCAAAACTGGGTTTTCTGTGAATGCTGGGATCAAAAGCTAATATGATACAAAAACTCAATGTGGAATAAGAAACGAGAATGTCAGTATCATTTCAAACTCTGCAAAGTTGTGTAGTCTCCAACAGGCATACAAATCCCATTAGGAAGCAATTGGGTTACTTAAAAGTGAAACATAGTGATTTTATTTTCAACTTTTGTGTATTACTTTTTCCAAATAGCTACTAAGTTACTTGTACAAGGTACCTATGAATACAACTGGACCAATGAGCAACATCATGGTAAACAGAGGAGAGACTGAAATAGTCAAAGATTTTATTTTTACCTAGATCTACAATTAATGTATATGCAAGCAGCAGTCAAGAAATCAATGCACTGCATTGGGCAAATCTGCTGCAAAAGCAACGCAACGCACTGCCGTTGAGTCAGAGCTGATTCATATCGACCCCTCTATGGGTTTCCGAGGTGATATCACTACAGAAGTAGATTGCCCAACCTTCCTCATGAGGAGTGGCTCTTGGGTTTGAACTGCCAGCCTTCTGGTTAGCAGTCAAATGCCTTAGGCACTACACAACCAGAGCTCCTTCTTTAAAGTGTTAAAGAGAAAAGATGTCACTTTGAACAATAATGTGCGCCTGATCCAAGCTAAAGTACTTTCAATCACCTCATAGACATGTGAAAGCTAGACAATAATGAATAAGGAAGATTGCAGAAGAATTGATGTATCTGAATTATAGTGTTGGCAAAGAATACTGAATATATAGAATATATAGAATAAAGTGTTCAATTGCATTTCATTTCCCCTTCTGTCTCTCTTTATAAACTAATGAAATCAAGAAAAAAAAAACCAGAATACTGAATATAGCATGGACTTCCAGAAGAATCAATGACTCTTATCTTGGAAGAAGTACAGCTGGAATGCTCCTTAAAAGAGAAGATGGTGAGACTTCCAGTAAGATGGAGGAATAGGCAGACAAGCGACACAGACGCTCTTCAACAAAGAAAAGAAAAACCAATTGATAGAGATACAGAAGATTATACTGGAACCTTGAGCTTTGAAAGGAACTATACAGAAGTGGATTAGGCACAAACTAGTGGAAAAACCTGAACGAAAACAGTGAGTACAGAGACGGTTAGAGCTGTGGACTGTCAGCTACTCTGATGAGACCAACAGCCTGAATATTTCCAAATGTTGGGACCTGAGAATTGACCTAAAGATTAGTCCCGGTCACCAAGGGCTTCAGGGACAACTGCTCTGGTGGCCTATGACTAGAAAGGGAAACAGCAAGGAGGAAGACAACCTGAGCTGTGGACTTCTCTGCTGCCTGGAGGGTGCAGCCATTTTGAATGTTTACAAGCGGTGGCTACTTTGGATATTACAAGTGACCGAGGACTCAGCCATTTTGAATATTTACAAGTGGCAACCATTTTGGATTTTAAAGTGATAGCATTCTCATTTGGATTCCAGGGACCTAAGAACAAGCTCTGTTTGCCAGGGTCGGCAAGGACATACAAGAGGCTGACAAAGGAAAGAAGACAGGTGATGAGTGTATAAGTGCTGTCAACTAGTGAATAGAGGAGCACCGAAGAGTACCCTGCCTGCATAGATAACATACAAACAAAACAAAGAAGACGAAAATTGTGGGCAAGTCACTCCAACATATAATAACCAATTAAATATAAACACAAAAACGTCACAATGCCTTGGAGACAACAGAGCATCACAATCCACAAAAAGAAGCAAGATAAAGCAGGAGAAACAAGGGACCAGGACACAGACCCAAAACACATCCTGAGGAAGGCGCAGTAAGGAATTCCTTACTCCCTGGTAAGGAATTCCAAAGAATTACATTTAGGTATCTTCAAAGGATTGAGAGACAGACCAAGGAAAACACAGACAAAATCCTAGAAGAATTTTGGAAGAAAATACAAGAACAAAATGACAAAATCAATGAAAAATTAGAAATGATTCTAAATCTACAGATAGA